CGGCTCAGCGTGACCAAGGGGGGGCGCGGGGTCCCCCCCGCTCTGTTGTCGGTGGTTGTTGTGCCGTTGTATTTTATTTTATTTTTTTTGTTGTTGTTTTTGGTTTTTTTTTTCCTTTTTATAAAACGAGAAAGATCCATCTTTTATTTTTCATTTCCCCCTTTTTCCCCTTTTTTTTCCTTGCTCTCCTGCCCCACCTCCCCATTTTCCTCCCTGTCTCTGGTGAAGCTGCTCCTCTCCCTTCCTTCCAAATTCTGGGGGGGGACCAGAGCTCCCCTTGCCCCAGTTAAACCCCAGTTCATGTCCCCCTCCCCCCGGGCCATGCTGTAAATTTTGGTGTGGTTTGGGTTTATTTTGGGGGGTCAATGCCCCCTCCCTGGGTAGGGGATGGGGCCGCGGGGACCGGGGTGGGTGCATGGGGGGCCTGGCAGGGCCCCCCCTTTTTTTAAGCAGACACGAGCACCAGCAATCCCACGGCACCTCCCTGCAGGGTTCTGTCCCCACCCCGTGCCACCCCCCAAAAACCCACCCAGTGTCATTGGGGACCCCCCCCCAAAACCCCAACCCAAATGGGGGGGGCTCAGGATTTGTTCCTTCTGCCTCCCCATCCTGTCCCTGGAGAGGAGCTGGGCTGGGGGACAGGATTTGGGGAGCCCCAGAGAAGGGGATGGGGGTCTGGGGGGGTTTCTCTCTAGGGCTGTAATTTAGCTATTTTTCTCTTCTCCCAAAGCTGTGGGGGCAGCAGGGGGAGGCCATGCTGCAGATTTTGGGTTTTGAGGGGTCCCTGCCCCCCCCAGCTCTGTAACGCCCCCCCAGGTTTGCTGCTCTCAGCACCCCAAATCCAGCCCCCCACAAAGACATTGGGGACCCCCTCAGTGCTGAGGGGAAGGTGGGGGCAGCACCCCCTGGCCTTGCCTCACTTTGGGCTGACAAAACACCATTTTGGGCAAACTGCCCCCAAACGTGGGGCAAGGGGGTGAAGCCGGGTGCCCCCGCACGGACAATCCCCCCGAGTCCCCCCAGGACCGGGGCCCCCAAGAGAACCCAGATGGTGTCACCCCCCCTTCCCCCTCCAGTGTCCATCTGTCCGTCCCTCTGCTTCCCCCTCCCACTCACCCCAATCCATTTGGGATTTTCCTTTCATTTTCATCCCAATTTTTAATCGCCGCCCCTCCCAAAATCCCCTAAGGGGAACACCTCCCTCCCCATCCCTTTTTTTCTGCTGAATGTACCCAGCACTGTCGTGTTTTAGTGGATGTGTTTTTAGTACAAAAAAAAAGACAAAAAAAAAAATTAAACCCCACCTTTTTTTCCCCCCTCCCCACCTTTTTTTCTGTTTAAAAAAAAAAAAAAAAAGGTAAAAAAAATGAAATAATAAAAAAGAAAAATTCTTACAGCGCCGACAATTTGGGAGGGGGGGGGAAAGACGTTTGCGCTGCAAGAGAATTCCTGAGTGCATTTTGGCACTGCCACAAAATCCCGGGATCCTTTAGATGGAAGTTCTTGTGAATTACGTTAAAAAAAAAAAAGGCAAAAAAACACCAAAAAAAAAAAAGATTAAAAAAAAAATCATCTTTTTTTTCTAATATTTAAAGAGTGTTTTTGTAGGTTTAAAAAAAAGACAAAAAAAAAAAAGGAAAAAAAAAGAAAAAAAAAAAAATAATCTTTTTTTTCTATTATTTAAAGAGTGTTTTTGTAGGTTTAAAAAAAA